AATAAACTTTGAAAGGGTAATTCCAGATAAAGCTTATGTCCTACGTGCAATATTCGTTAAGATGTTCTGGAAATCTTACTCGTCTTCCAGAACGCGTTGTTTTAAGTTTTTCTATCGACGTTGACGAAGTATCAAGTTGTGTGTCGACTGTCGTGTAGGGTACTACGAGTGTAGTAGCTGTGTCGTTTGCTTGTACCGAAGGAAAATCGACGTAGCTAGGGTTTCCTTCTAGGTACGCAGCTTTGGGTCGATCGATACTGATGCTATCTTTCGTACCGTTCTTATCAACTACATAGTACTTGTGTTCGCGTTGAAGAACTTTGAAAGGTCCTTCGTATGCTGATTCGAGGGGTCGTCGATGTGAGTCTCGACGAACGAAGACGTGTGTACTATGTCGTAATTCGGGTTGAACGAAAACATCAGTTGATTGAGGTCGAGTGTGAGCAGGTTTAACTGAACGCATAGCGTTTGTAAGCCTACTCGTGTGAGAGTTTAGATCCATGTTCAATGAAGAAGCTGAAGAATCCACGAATTCTCCTGGGAGTCGGAGTGTCGTTCCGTAAACGAGTTGAGATGCCGTGTATCCAATGTCAGCTTTCACTGCATTGTGGATACCTAGCAAGACGAGTGGAAGAGCGTCTGTCCACTGTGAAACGTTTGAAGCTGATAATGAAGCTTTTAATTGTCGATGAAAACGTTCTACCAACCCGTTTGCTTGTGGGTGGTAGGCGGTCGTTCGGAAGCGCGTGATTCCTAAAAGTGTGGTCAGACAACGGAAAAGTCCAGATTCGAACTGGCGTCCGCGGTCTGTAGTGATGGTTGAAGGGCAGCCGAAATTCGCTACCCATCGTTCGACGAAAGCGCGGGCCACGGTTTCAGCAGTAATGTCCTTAATCGGTACTGCTTCTGGCCATCGAGTAAAACGGTTAACGCATGTTAGGAGATATGAGTATCCGTTTGAGTCGGGTAAGGGTCCTACCAAATCTAGATAGACGTGGTCGAAACTATAGTCAGGGGTTTTGAAAGAGCCTAAGGGACATTTGTTGTGTCTTATGACCTTAGATTTCTGACAGCTTACACAGGAGCGTGCCCACTCCCTCACGTCTTTACTCATGCCAGGCCAACAAAAGCGTTCTGCTATTAGTTCGATTGTTGCACGAGCTCCTGGATGAGAAAGATTGTGCAACGTATTGAAGACGTTGCGGCGATAGTGTTTTGGTACAATTGGACGATCCCTACCTGTAGATGTGTCACAGAGTAAGGTTTCCTTACCTGTTCCCATCTGCCTAATACTTAGTTTAAGAGTTGTCGAGGATAACTCATGCTGAAGATCAATGTCTTCTTTTTGAAGCTGAGCGAGTTTAAGAAGGTCGATTCCTTGGAAACTGTTCAAGGAGCTAATTCGAGACAAGGTGTCTTCGACTACATTGTTTGCTCCAGAAATATGTTGTATGTCTGAAGTAAACTGCGAAATGTAGTCGAGTTGTCGAGACTCTCGCGGTGAGTACTTGTCTGAAGATGAACTTAAAGAGAAGGTAAGAGGTTTGTGATCGGTAAAGAGCGTGAATTCTCTTCCTTCGATGGAATGTTGAAAATGCCGTACAGCACAATACATAGCTAGGAGTTCCCTACCGAAAGTACTGTACCTAGATTCAGCGTCTAGCAACCGTCTCGAGAAAAATCCTAAAGGTTGCCACGAGTTGTTAACCCGTTGTTGTAAAACTCCTCCGATTGCTGGATCGGATGCGTCTACGGCGATACTAATGGGCGCTTGACTGTCCTGATGAGCAAGCAAGGTTGCTTTAGTGATGTGTTCCTTAACTGTGGAAAATGCTTTACGAGCTGTGTCGTCTAAACTAATTGATTTTCCATTTCCACGAAGCTGATCGGTTAACGGTTTCATAAGGGATGCGCATTTGGGTATGAACCGTTTATAGAAACTTACAAGTCCGTTAAAAGTTCGTAACTGCTTGATCGTGGTCGGTTCTGGGTAATCCAGAATGGCCGCCACTTTGCTCCTAAGGGGTCGGATGCCTTGGGCATCAATGGTGTGTCCTAAGAAGTCTAAGCAGTTAGTTCCGATTTGGCATTTCTGAATGTTGACAGTAATGCCATGCCTTTGAAGTCGATCGAAAACAATGTCCAGATGCCTGAGATGCGATTCTCTGTCCGGACTTGCTATTAGACAGTCATCAACATACGCATGTACGAAGTTGAGACCTCGGAAGACGTCGTCTATAAACCTTTGGAATGTTTGAGCCGCGTTTCTTAAACCAAAGGGCATTCGTAGAAATTCGTAAAGACCGAAGGGAGTGATGATGGCGGTTTTAGGAATGTCGTCAGGTGCCATCGGGATTTGGTTATAAGCTTTAACCAAGTCGATTTTTGAAAAGATAGTTGTACCCTTCAAGGTAGCTGTCAAATCGTGAATATGAGGCAGCGGGTAACGATCGGGAATGGTTTTAGCATTCAGACGCCGATAATTACCAGTTGGCCGCCAATCATTGCTGTCCTTTTTAGGGACCATGTGCAATGGGGATGCCCATGGACTATTCGATGGTCGAATTATTCCTAGGTCCATCATGTGGTTGAATTCGTTTTTAGCTAACCTAAGTTTTTCGGGAGCGAGTCTTCGGGCTTTCGAAAATACAGGTGGTCCTGTAGTCGAGATGTGATGTGTAACATTGCTGGTTACACAAGGTAATTTCGATTGCGATTGGTATATCCCGGGGTATTTGTCGAGTACTGCTTGGTACAAGGGGTCTATGGCGTGCTTAATCGTGACTGGGGATAACCTGCAACCAGAACAAGGAGTTACGCAAACGGACAACTTAGTGTTTCCGTCTATTAACCTTCGTGCGCGTGTGTCGATGAGTAGATTGTGGTGTTGTAACAGGTCAATACCAATGATTGGCATAGAGACATCTGCAACCACGAACATCCAGTGTATGGGTTTACGTAAACCCACGTTAAGGTAGACGTACCTTTTACCGTAAGTAGCGATCGGCTTTCCGTTTGCCGCCTGTAAACTTAAAACAGACTCGCGAAGTCTGTCGTCGAGATTTGCTGGAAGAACGCTAACTTCTGCGCCAGTGTCGACGAGGTAGCGAACTTTCGTAGTCACATCCGTGACATATAAGAGGCGGCTGTGTTCGCCGGCTACGGTTGCCGTTAACGCGTGCCGGCTGGGAAGTTTCCCGAACTGTTTTTCGTGTCACTCGATTTTGGGGTCGGATAATTGCAAGGTTTCCTGCAGTTTCTGGAAAACTTACCGTACTGGTTATGATACCAGCACCAGTCGGGATTGTCTGTCTCTCGTGGTCGAGAGCCAGATCGCTTACGTGAGGCACTTCTACGCGGGGTTTTTGACCGACTACGGTCATTGCGAACTCTAAGATATCGTGTAAGCGTGTGACATAGTTCGGCCATGTCAGTCGAGGTCGATTGGGGTTTTTCTTTGACGGAAAAAACCTCGGCCTTAGAAGATCTAGTGATTTCCAAGATTCGATCGGCAGATGCAGCTAGTTCATCTATGGCATTGTTTTGAAATGAAACAAGCACTGCCTGCACCTGTTGAGGGAGTTTAGACAAGAAAAGTTGTCTAAATAGGCCATCATCGAAAGTTCGTTGGCCGATGACTTCTCTCATTCTAAGCAACATGTCCGTCGCGGAACCATGTTGCAAGTCGATATTGTTAAGGAGTTGGTCTAACCGTTGTCGATCAGTTAGGTCTCCTCGTTTTAAAATCGATAGCTTAAGCGATTCGTAAGGTTCGGAAACATCACTAGTAAACATACTAGGTGTTACGTACCTGTTAAACTCGCGCGGTAACGCCTTAACTACCGCGAGGAAACGTGTGCGCGAGTCCGTGATTCCGTGCATGCAAAAATCGGCTTCTGCATAGCAGAACCAGGACTCGATATTGTCGGGCCAAAATGGCGTTAACTGAATCGAAATAGGGGGAATAGACTTAAACTTAAGAACCGTAGGTGAGTGTTCCGTCATAGTAATATAGCTAACGAAAATGTCTAATTAAAATATATCCGGGAAAAAAAAATTCGCGAAAAAAGTATATCACAATATATAAAATTCAAATAAAGAATAACAATGAATAATAATATTCCAAAATGGAACAGACTCACAGTATATTGACTTGGTGTACCAGATCACGTCGGGTTCACCAATGATGATGCAACGGATATTCTAGTTTTACAACTGGATACCAGTAGCACCTTCTAAATTCGGTAATTTCCAGTCAGATAGAAATCAGAAGTCGGACGAGAATAGGCAGGAAAGATATATTTGATTCGTTACCAATATATCGAGGACCTTTTCTATGAGCTGGCTAATGAGACGTAGGAGCTGTGTCGCACGCAGTATTGAAACGTGATCTGGTGCGGATGCATGACCGAAAGCCTTCAGCTAAACAAGTCCACTTAAACAACGTGGTCAGCATCCAATGTCGAACACTTAATGAGCTATTGATTTTGGGGAATTATTTACAGCTACACCATCAATTTCCAGTCTAGATCGCTAGATTTTATCGGTATAATGCCTTTTTATTTATAATTCTTGTAGATTGGTTTCACCAGTAAATGTATTTTCGTTGGTAGTGGATCGGACATACATTAAAAAAATCACCAAACTGCACAGCCCTAGCTTGGAATCCGGTGGGAAGCGAAAAAGAGAAAGGCTGAAGAACACATTACTCCGGGAAATAGCAGATATGAAAAGGATCAATAACAACTGGAACGAACTAGAAATGATTGCCCAGGACATGGTTGGGATGAGAATACTGGTGTGCGGCCTATGCTTCTCCACGAGTGGTAACAGGCGTAAGTAAGTAAATACATGCATTTACGTGCTTACAGGTTTTCGACTAAGGTTTTTGTTGTCTCTCGACTTCTTAGCCTTTCTTGTTTATTCAACACTGCACTTCCCATAAATACCCAAACTATTCTCAAGTCAAACACTAAAAGCTATATACTTGTAAAGTCTAACAAAGATTGTACACTACTGACTCTTGGTTGGTTTTAGTACGGTACTTTGAAGGGCAGACGAAAAGCGGGCAGACACTACTTGTAAGCTTAGTGTATTAATCCGTGGTTGAGCTACTGTGATCTCAAACAAAGAGGATCATCACTATTTTCGATAACAAAGCCTTTCAATTTTAATAATGGTAATTACTTTTTCGTTTTGTGATCCTCCCAAAGAGTATCTTGGCGCACAATGGGTCTGCTGTCATTGCAATGTCTGGCAAAGATTGCGCAGCTATTGCATGTGATCTTCGGTTTGGGGTCAATTTGCAGACGATCTCCACTGACTTCACCAAAGTTTATCCTCTTGGACCTCGGCTGTACGTAGGGTTTCCTGGTTTGGCAACTGATAATCAGACAGTGTAAGCATTAATAAAATCATTATTGTTGTACACCAGATTTCAACGTTTACAGTTCCGAAAAAACATGTACGAGCTACGTGAAAATAAGACAATCAAACCGCAAACTATAACTACCATGTTATCCAACTTGCTTTACGAGCGCAGGTAATGTTTCTTTTAAAGTTATAGGTGTAGGTTTGGACCATACTTTGTCGAACCAGTAATCGCTGGTATTAACCATACTACCAACAAACCATACGTTGCATGCATGGACTTAATTGGCTGTGTATGCGAAGCCAATGACTTCGTTGTTAGTGGCACATGTACAGAACAAATGTATGGGATGTGTGAGACGCTTTGGGAAGAGAATATGGTAAGTTGTCTCATATTCTAGTTGTTAAGTATTATCACTGTAGTGTGAATGTTTTATGCACATTACACACATCCAGTTGATCGGGTTATTTTATAAGTATTCGACTTCTCTTTCGATACACAATGCTTGATGTGATGGTTCGGTTCAAAACAGCGACTAGAATGTCTAACCTTGAGCAAACTTATTTTCTTTATTTTATTATATCCCCTTCTTTGTTGTTCCGTGATCTTACATCATGTAGCTACTTAAGTCAGTGTATTTCGGTATCAAGTTATGAATTGGCCCCGTCTTCCTGTGCATCACGATTTACTCCCCAAACATACGTCTGAATGCGTCCAAACTACCCCTATGCCTTGGTTGGTTAAATAAATAAGTAAAATATAATCAAGCTAAAAAGATGGATTGTGTATGACTATCAATATCAATACTGCTATACCCTATATACTTCTTGTTTTGACGTGAGACGACAGTAAAGAGTAGCCCAACCTCATAATAAGTCACCAATTATTCACATGGAACTTTTGGGACTGCTAAGATCTTTGCCTGTTATCTGTAAATTACCATTTTTTGTAGTTAACTTTGTTAGGCACTCTATTGAAATCTGTCGTCGAATATTGGGATGCGTAAAACTTTGTGATCAAAGTTTTTCACTTGTCTGATTAACCAGGGGTTCTTCTGTATTGCGATGGTTCATAAAAAGCACGGTCTCACTTATTCAAACGATATATCCCCTATTACGATGACAACTTTCCTGCTGGATGTTTCTGACTCATTGGTCGCAACGTACTTCAACATGGAGCAAACTCCTGGATCAGCCCTCGCTTCTGAATTGAAAAACTCAGTACTACTAGATTTACACAACTTGTTAATAAGGGTTCGCCTGTAAAATTCCTTAGGATTGTGTATAATGGAGACGGTAGTAGTAGATTTCAACTTTAGAAAAACCACCGTCTATGTCAAAGTCAGGCACTAACCTCTTTTGTTGTTTGTTTCAGAATTCGAAAGAGTTATTTGAGTGCATTTCACAATGCATTTTGAACGCTCTCAATCGTGACGCTGTATCTGGTTGGGGTGCTCGAGTCTATTTATTGTAAGTAATATTACTTTTCTTGAAATGATACAAAACTTAATGGTTAAAAGTACTATACTGGCAAGTATGAGCAGCTTACCCGATCGTTGCTGCTACCTTGACGTGGTGTTCAGGCTTGCCTATCGTGATGAAGCAATCGAGCTATGCTGGCTGGAACAATCTTTCCTCAAGGTCCTACCATGCCAGACAGGTCGATTGAAGAACGGTAAGACTAAAAGCAGCAAACCCAATGTTTAGGGGCAAAGTCGTACTGATGACTGTACAGAGGTGTGACGTCAGTAAGGTGCTTCCCTCAGACAACTAGCATGACAGCGATGCTGCCTTCCCACAAGGAGGGGTGGGGTTAGAAAAGGTCGACCCTAAAAATGCACACCTCGCCTTATCCCACGGATATCCGTCTCCGGCGGTAAGGTTTTTTGAAGAACGGAGCTAACACAAAAACTGCCCACAAAAAGGTCGTGTGTGACCGACCTCAAGCAGCTGTCCCTTGGGCACTGCGGTCACGCTCTCAGGTCATTAAGACCACTTCTAACCCAATTTCCTTTTCAGGTACCTCTAGAAGAACCCTTCCACGGTGTGGGCAACCGGGAAGTGATAACCTCACTCATACCTCTAACAGCACTCAAAACCACTGTATTCATTATCAATCTCCTTCTTCAATTCCTACTATCCCTTCTACCTTGACTTTCAACACTAAACTTCCTCTTCCGGTTTCCTCCTCAAGTGTCACCATGGCCAACGATTCTAGTGCGCGAAACGCTGTCCCAGGTCTAATAAAACCTCGCTCCAAACTACACATTGGAACCTTCAACGTACGTATCCTATGCCAAATCGGTCAACAGGCCTCCTTAGCTAAAACCCTAGAATCTCGTACCATTGATGTATGCTGTGTCTCCGAAACACGCATACAGGATCCCAGTGTGGTCATTCACTTGACCTCACCTCGCCAAAATGGACAGCCAACGAAATACACCCTCCGTGTATCTGGCGACCCGTTGGCTAGTTCTCGCGGACTTGCAGGTGTAGGCATAGCACTAAGTACAAGGGCAAAACAGGCACTACTAGAATGGATCCCCGTTAACAGTCGCCTGTGTGCTGTCCGGCTAAATGGCTCCGTAAGAGCTCGGAAGGATAGGGACACACGTCGTTGCCTTTTCGTCGTTTCTGCCTACGCTCCCACTGACTGCAGCCATGGTGAAGTGAAAGATGACTTTTACAGAAAGCTCTCTGAGCTTCTTCAGAAAGCTAAGCGCTCAGACATAGTAGTCGTAGCGGGTGACTTTAATGCCCAGGTAGGCAGCTTAAATCAAACAGAAAGACATTTAGGTGGGTGTTTTAGTATTCCGACTCAACAAACCGATAATGGTGATCGTCTGTTGCAACTATGCTCAGACAATCGTTTATTTTTAGCAAGCACTAATTTTAAGCATAAGGAGAGACATCGTCTAACATGGCGACCACCTGCACCAAACCAACGATGGACTCAAATAGACCATATTGTTATCAGTCATCGTTGGAGAGGCTCAATAGAAGATTGTCGCTCGTATTGGAATACTTGTTTAGACTCTGATCACGCTTTAATACGAGCACGCATTTGTCTGCGCCTCAATGGACGCAGGAAAAGTACACTAAGAAGACCCATTAGGATTGAACTGCAGGACGAGAAAGCCAAATACGAATTCCAGAAACAACTGAGTTCACATCTAGGCAGTTCTGTAAACAAGACTGACACAGATGCTACTTGGAAAGATATACGAACAGCTGTGGAAACAGCAGTAACATCTATTAGTCATCTAAACCATAGGGCTCCAAAAAACCAATGGATTTCTTCTAGGTCTATTTCACTGATGGATTCGCGTAAACTCATCCCATCAGGCTCTGAACATAACGAAGAGCGTAAAAAAATTAGATCTAGGTTAACTAAAAGTCTAAGGAACGATCGTGAGCAGTGGTGGGCAACGAAAGCAAAAGAGATGGAAAAGGCAGCGGCTGTAGGGAACACCAGGCAACTATTCAGACTAATAAAAGAAACTGGAATTAAGAGGTCAAGTGTAAGTGAGACAATCTCCGAAAAAGACGGAACCCTTATCTGCTCTCAAGTCAAACGTTTAGAATGATGGGCGGAACACTTTGAGGAGCAGTTTAGCTGGCTTTCAGCTACTGCACAACTACCCACTACTCCTAGAAAACCTGAATGGAACATTGAAGTAGGCCCCCCGACCCTACTTGAAGTTCAAAAGGCTATAAGTAATCTGAAACGAGGAAGAGCAGCTGGTGCAGATGGATTGGTTCCAGAGGTCTTTAAATATGGTGGTTCAATTTTAGCGATTAGGTTGACTAATATTCTGGCTAAAATCTGGGAGACGGATGTAATCCCATCCGACTGGTCACAATCACTGATTGTCCCAATATATAAAAAGGGGTCAAAATCATCCTGTGATAACCATAGAGGGATTAGTCTGACTAACATAGTATCTAAAATACTAGCCTCAATAATTATCAGGCGCCTAACTAAGACTCGTGAACTGCAAACACGAGAAAATCAGGCTGGCTTCAGACCTGGTCGTGGCTGTATCGACCACATATTCACCATTCGTCAAGTTTTAAAGCACAGACATGCTTATCGGCGTCCGACAATGATAGTTTTTCTTGACTTGAAAACAGCATTTGACTCTGTAGACCAAGAGGTTCTGTGGCAGTGTCTGTCATTGAAAGGTGTACCTCAGAAGTACATAAACCTTGTGAAGGCTCTTTACTCGAACACTATTAGTCGAGTGAGAGCTTATGGCAAACTGTCATATGATTTTACAACCTCAAGTGGTGTCCGTCAAGGCTGTCCACTATCCCCATTTTTGTTTAACTTCATTATAGACCTGTTGCTGGAAATGACACTCTCGTCGACTGAATTTTCAGGAATTGATCTTCTACCAGATGGTTCACTTATCGACTTAGAATACGCAGATGACATAGTCCTGTTTGGTGAAGACGCTGGCAAAATGAAGAGTCTTCTGTTGGAACTCAGTAATAATGCCAGGATGTTTTGGTTGCGTTTCTCCCCATCCAAATGTAAATTGTTACTCCAGGACTGGCCTGAATTAAGGATAGGGAGTGAAGTAGTCGAACACGTCGACAACTTCACCTATCTTGGAAGTCTGATCAGCCCTAATGGGTTGGTGTCTGACGAAATCTCAGCACGGATTCAAAAAGCTCGTTTAGCTTTTGCCAACTTACGTCACCTATGGCGAAGATGAGATATCCGTCTATCAATTAAGGGACGAGTATACTGCGCAGCAGTTCGTTCTGTTCTACTTTACGGCTGTGAAACATGGCCATTAAGAGTAGAAGATACTCGTAAGTTACTAGTATTTGACCACAGATGCCCTAGAAATATTGCTCGCATCTGCTGGGATCACCGGGTAAGTAATAGTGAGGTAAGACGCAGGGTATTAGGGAACGATGGTAAATCAGTTGATAAGGTGATGAATCTTCATCGACTGAGATGGTTGGGCCATGTGTTACGTATGCCTGAACACCGATTACCACGACGCGCTATGATGACTAGTGTTGGGGATGGTTGGAAGAGAGTTAGGGGCGGCCAAACCAAAACATGGCATCAGTGTTTGAAGTCACTAACTTCTAGTCTGAGCCATGTTGGCAGATGCAGACTACCTGGTTGGGGTCCGTGTGACTATCGTAACCAATGGTTGGAGACTTTGGGTGACATGGCTGAGAATCGATCACAATGGCGTAGGTGTATGCACTCTTTATCTTCCCTTAAACCTTGAGATTAAAATTGCTTCATATCTCTCTTCCTTCCTGTACTATATCCTTATATACAACCTTTCTTGATATGATACCACCACTAAATTAATTACTTCTATGAATCCGGTGTTCGTCTTGTTGTGCTAACGAGGTATGGCAACTTGGACCGATGCATATATGTGCCTGGTCCTACGTTGTAGCTAACTGACTGACTTGAGCAGCTTACTATTCAAACAGCAGTATTTCGTAATATGACGATTTACGTTAAAAAGTAATAAATTTAAGCAGATAAACAGTTTCGACGTGACTGGTGAACATTTACATGAGAAATTATAATCTTTACAGCAAACAAAACAAGTTTGAGCATTAGTAATTGGGTTAGGATAGATAGATGAAAGCCACTGTTTGGAGTACGGTTTGAGGTCAGAGTTAGTGTTTAGAATTACGGTAAGAGTGGAAGATAATTTCTATCCATGCAATGCATCTTATACTGTGCCCTAAATCACACCAACTACGCTCAACAAACACTTAACGGTTTAAGTGCAGTCTGGATCAAGTATTTTTTGTGATTTTGCTTACATGCCGCTTATACACTTTTTAGTAACACGGCAGACAAATTTGTCAATTTTAAGCATCTTAAGAACTAAACGTCTAACCTCACCATTATTTATCCGATTATCCCAACAGATGCGAGCAATATGTCTTAGACATCTGTGATCAATTACTAGTAACTTACGAGTACGCATTACTGTCAATGGCCACGTTCCACAGCCGTAAAGTAGGACAGACAGAACTGCTGCTCAATATACTCGTCCCTTAATTGATAGACAGATATATTCACCTTCACCATAGATAACGCAAGTCGGGAAAGGCCGAATGGGTTTTTTGAATCCGTACAGAGATTTCGTCAGGCACCAATCCATTAGGACTGATCAGACTTCCAAGATAGGTGAAGTTGTTGACGCGTCCGACTACTTTACCCCCTATCCTTAGTTCAGGCGTTGAGGCAGGCCAGTCCTGGAGCAACAATTTACATCAAGAAGAGGGGAATGCATCCTCAACATCCTGGCATTGTTTCTCAGTGCTGCCAAAATACTGCATTTTATCAACGTTTTCACCAACCAGGACCATGTCATCTGTGTATTCTAAGTCGGTAAGTGGATCGCCTAGTAGATCAACTCTTGGAAATTCAGACGACGAAAACGTTATTTTCAGCAGTATGTCTCTAATGAAATTAAACAGAAATGAAGATAGTGGACAGTTTTTCCGTACAACACTTGAGGTTGCAAAGTCAGATGTCAGTTTGTCATAAGCTCTTTTTCGACTAGTAGTGTTCGAGTTAAGAGCCTTCACAAGGTTTATGTACTTATGAGGTACCCCTTTCAATGACTGACGCTGCTATAAAACCTCTCCGTCTCTTGAGTCAAATATTGCATTTAAGTGAAGACTACCATTTTCGGACACCAATAAGCATGTTTGTTCTGAAATCTGACGAATGGTGAATATGTGGTCGATGCAGCCACGTCCAGGTCTGAAGCCAGCCTGGTAATGTATTTGAGATTGACCACATGGTTTTGTTAACACACCATAGTCTCATATCAAGTTTGTCTGCAACCAATGTTATAAATTGTATGCAGGTGTTTTCCGTATACAGAATATTTGTGTTCGTTCTAAGCGCGTTTTCACTAAACATATTTCTAACATACTGCTGACAAAAACAGGTTCGAAGGCCAAATATTTGTCCTAACTACTCTGTGTATAATATCCCGAATAGTATGGGGATAGGTGCTTGTTATGTAACTAGACATGTCCTCGAAATGTTGATATCTAAAACATTTAAAAATAATATTTGGTTACCACTAAATGCTATTCAGATATTAAGAAGATGTAGATTGTCCGTCAATGTCGTGGGCACTAAGACAATTTCTAAAATGATGTCCATTTCAAATCAGATTTGTGCAAAAATGTATTGATTTTAAAAATGTTTTCCCAAATAAGTTATTAGTAAATATCTAGAAGTACAAACCATAGTCAGAAAATTGTACAAATTTCCACAAAACATTAGTTACCATGGCTAACTGTGTGGTTTGGATTAGTTAACGGTACACTTTTCCCATCATTTTCGTAACCAGCTTTTCAGAGTAAGGAAACTATATATAGACAAGTTTATAGGCGAAAACGAAACAAGTATTACCCAAGTCATATGTACATATGCATGATACTAGACTGATTTAGATAGAAATATGTAGAAAATGGACTTGGTCACTAACAGTAAGTTTAACCATTTTCACACTTTCCAGCTTCCAATGTTTCTGCTATCGGATTCGGTTTGTTTGGGCCAGGGAAACACATCCAAACAAATTAATACTGGCTAATATATGGATTTTATTCACCTAGATTATAAACCACCACACGAACTAACACGATATGCATATATAATTATATCATGTGACGTACCGTTGCTAAGTGCCTATAAAAATGTTAGTTTATTTGTGAAATTACAGATTCAAGCTTAGGGTCTTGGAGATTCTGTGCTGAAATGATCGATTAAAGTAATAAAACGTTTGACATTTAACCCACTGCTTAAGACGTCACTTTCATAAGAACCTATATACATTAATGCTGTAGCGGCCAATAGGTAAGCTAATATAATGTAGCCATTTAATGTGAGAAAAAAAAGTAAACCAAAAGAAGTATTTGATGAAAAACTAGATATCGCGAAGTAGTAATTTTTGGTAGATAATTGTCCCATGTGTAAACTTTTCAACGCTTAGTAAGTAAAAAATATATCGTGTTCATCAACATGTTTGTAAGAGTCAAAATTCAAACATTTCGTTAATGAGTTAACCATTCATTAAGTTCGCCAATAAATTAGATGACTACAGTCACAGATCAAAATATGTAATCCCGACTACCATTTATTTATAGCCAATCAAAGATTTGGTGAGTGTCTTTGTGGTTTCCAAGTAGTGGCGAGACTAAACTACATGGACGACCTTTGAACGAATCTTAAATGACCTTGAGAAATATTAGCCAATCAGAAGACAGTACACAGCAAGAATATATTATACAAAACTCAAAGATTAAGGGGGATACTGTTCTTTGACATGACTCAAAAACTTTTCAAGGTTAGATATAGCTTCAGGAGTTCTAAAATCATAGCGCATCCGGTACAGGAACTTATCCATGTGGCTCCATGGCAGTCGACCTCTGGAACCATGATAAGGTCTCAAAAATTCTTTTAGCCTCGACCACATAGCTTCAATGTTGTTGGTATGATTTGGGGTTAGAGTTAAGAATGAGACTATAAATTATGGACGACCTTTGAGGGACGCTAGGGTGACTGAGAGTGTCAACATAATAACCAAGACTAAATAAGGTTATAAACCTGTGTGAAGAATTAAAATTATGATTTACAGCTAATAGTCAAGGTTAGGAATTATACTGAGGGGTTTTCATCAGGAACTGACATAAGCTATAATGCCAAAACTCTATTTATACAAATGGATAATTGAATTTCGCGCCAAAATCTTATGATCACTTCTCTTGTAGACGCTGAATTATCACGTCTCCTCTAAAATCCGTTGTAAACCGACCGTACGTAAGCATTAGGTACGAGCTTAGTGCCGTGACCTTGAAAACCCGCAAAAGCTTCTGATTGGTTCGTCCATATAGTTTGGTCTCGCCATTTCTTGCTTTTGGATATTTTCCAGTCATTCAGCTTCCTGAAGACAATTTTAAAAAATCATTATTTGAATGTCTTTCCGTCTACTACCGATCATGATACTTTTCTTGCTATTTAATTTTTCAGAGAAAAAGACGCAGTCACTATTTCTGACTTGAAAATGCGTATGGACTAAGTTAATTAAATATAAGTTACGTATTTTGCTTGTTATATTATTTTCGTTATTCACACTGTGTGGTTCGGATTTGCCAGTTTTCTGAGAACAATTTGTAATGTGTGTTTATGTTATTGCTTTAAACCGAGTGGTGCTAGCTAAGCTCGTATGCAAGACATCACTGTTGTGAGAACTCGTTTTGATTAAAACTCACTATTTTAGAAAATGATAACAGTCTGATTTTGGGAACGCTTATATGGTTTAATCGTGAAGCTGTTTTAAGAAATCCAGGTACAAACAGCATGTCTTGATGGAAACACTGGTCGGGTATCATCCATTGGTAAAATAAAGTAGAAAATTAGAAGTCTTTAGTGGCTCGAGATCTGACTCCTAGGTATCGGAATATACATTACGCAAATCCTCGAATATGATCATCGACTTAAATCGCGTTAATGGATAACGGAATTAAATAAGTCAAATACGAAAATGAATTCCGAATACATGTATCTCATACAATCGTTGATCAGAAAGCAAAGCAAAATGACGCAATGGAGAAGGCAAGTGAGTCAATTCCATCTATCCAAGAGTGACTAAATATTTATAATCAGACCAAAAATAAGTTACAGATATGTGATGGGTAAGGTAAGTAATTAACACACGATCATATAGAAAACAGTTAGGAGTAGTAAGTGACAGGTTAAACATGTGGCTTGAGAAGAATAAACAGACTGATCTGTTCAGCAGCTAGAATAAAATATGTGGGCTTGGCATAACACCAGACCCTAAAAAACAAATACTCGCAACACATGTTATGAGTACCTTCCTATCATTGAAAAAAATGGACTTTCATCAATGGTTGTGAAAATTAGTTTAATGCGTAGTTTATCATCTACTTATCAACTTCTAATCGCAAAGAACGACAGCAGTTAACATTTCTATCGTTAGACATGAATACAAACACTGAAGATAATTAGTTACTGTTCTAATTTAAGTAAATGCGCTTACTTTTCGCAAAAACGGTATTCGTAATTGGTGGTAATCTTAATAGTTTTTTGATCAACATAAGGAATAAAGGTTAGAAGGGAGATAATGAATATTCGGGGTTTCGTTAGTCTGTAAATTCCGCACAATGGCCATATCCTGACTGTTTATTTTGTAATTCGTGTCAAGATTTATTCTTCCTATTAGCTGTCAAGAATCCAGCAGGAATGATCCATCTACATAAAAAATTTTCAAACAAATTATTTTCCACAATGATGACAGATGAAACTTGTTTAGATAACAGAGACAGCCATAGGAGCGAATCATTGGATAAGATGGAACAGTAGATGTGCGCTAATTCATTAACGGAATACTGAAAGTTTAACAGCTTGTAGTGAACAGGTGATTCTCTAATATTTCTAGTATTACAATAACTTGTTTCACTTAAGAATTGCTTCAATGTTTTTAATAATTGCACAGAAGAGGTATATTCAACTTGACTGTTCGTCCTCTTTGTAAAGGCAGAGAAATGTGGGATAGAATGACTGTGAGAGGACTTGGCATGAGGACATTATTATTCCACTTACTTTTCCTGATTAACTATGGGATCCGAAGTGGTATTAAACAAAAGCATGATTGCAAGCTAAAGATAGTAGGCATTTAAAATATAGTACATCGATTACTTACAGCTGTAAGAACTTTAGTGAACTATAACGAACAAGTAAGAGTAATCCTCAATGTATGATTTACGAGCTTGGTAACAATACCTTGACAAATATTCCAAAAGCAACCTTATAATCAATTTTGGTATTATAAGGCGGTCAAGATGATGTGGATTTAAGGAAATTGAGGGGGGTCTATTCCCCTTTCCAACTCCACCTGTAGCCCCTCCGGGGGCTACTGACGGTCCCAAGCCCGGATAAAGGAGGAGGTTTTGGCATGGGGTTAGCGACCCCATCCTGTAGAAAACCAACTCGCTGAAAAAACACTAACCAGAAAATACTATTCAAACAACTTAAACTTTGCCATGGGAGTTGAAGGAATAATTATAACGCCTCACGATAAGAGCTGAGTTCCTTTGGAAGTCATGAGGCCGATGCCCCTTCTAACAACCAGAGCAACAATTTTTATAAGTACATGGAACGATCGGACAATGTGGGAGACCGGAAGTCTTCCAAATTGCTGCAGAAATGAGGAAATACGACCTGGAGGTGCTTGGGATCAGTGTAACATACTGGACGCAGATTGGACAACAACGACTAGCTTCAAGAGAGCTTTTGTTATACTCCGGCCATTAAAAAGAAAATGCTACACATACACAAGGAGTTGCATTGATGCTGTCCCAACAAGCACAAAATACACTTATAAGATAAAAATCTCATGAACCAAGGATCATCAAAGCCTCCTTCAAAACAAGGAAAGAGGGCATTACAATGAATGTCATCCAATGCTATGCGCCTACCAATGACTACGATGAAGACGCTGAAGACCAATTCTACGGTAGGCTGCAGTCGATCTTCGAGAGGTGCCCAACAAAGGACCTGACCATGCTGATGAGAGATTTAAATGCCAAGGTTGGAAAGGACAACACTGGATACGAAGACGTCATGAGACAACATCGACTGGGAGAAAGGAACGAAAATGGTGAGATATTGCAAACCTATTTGCCTTTAATAAACTGGTCATAGGTGGCACCATATTCCCACACAAAAACATACACAAAGTCAATCGGATTTCACCGGATCACACTACACAGAACCAAATTGACCATATCTGCATCAACAAAAAGTTCAAGAGGACAATGGAGGATGTGAGAACCGGGAGAGGAGCTGATGTAACATCAGATCATCACTTACTGGTTGCCAAGATGAAATAAAAACTCAAAACGCATTGGACAACTGGGCGGACAACATCACAAAAGTTTAATACGGCCTTTCTTCGGAATAATGAGCAACATATCTACAATCGAAGAACATCTGGAACTCAAAACAATTATCAACCAACACCAAGGTTAGAATTTTCAATACAAATGTCAAAACAGTTCTACTTTATGGGGCGGAAACCTGGAGAACTACGAAGGCCATCAGTCAGTCAGTCAGTCACAACGTAGAACTTCGTACGTACGTACATCAGCTCGAGTTGCCATACCACATTAGCACAGAGATGCAGTTGTCGATTCAAATCCCATAGTGGTGGAAGTAGTAGGAGTATAATCAGAAATCCAAAAGATTAGGGTTTGAAGAAATTATTGAAGGAGTATAGTACAGTGAAATAAATTTGGAAAGAGAAAAACATAAAGACATGAGGAATTCAGAAGATTAGAATTTGGTGGAACACAAAGAGTGGATGCATCTTCGCCATTGCAAACGATTTTCAGCCATGTCATTCAAGGTCTCTAACCATCGGTTGCTGTCATCTCGCGAATCCCAACCAGGTAGTCTACACCTACCAACATGGCCCAGTCCACTTGTCAGTGACTTCATTGATTTGTGCCATGTTTTGGTCTGGCCACCCCTAGCTTTCTTCCAACCTACTCCTACACCATGAAACATTGCACGTCGGGGCAGTCGGTGGTCGGGCATACGTAACACATGTCCCAGCCATCTCAACTGATGAAGTTTCACTACTTCATCAATCGATTTGCCATCCCTACCTAGTACTCGTTTCCTAACAACTGCATTACTTACCCGGTGGTCCCAGGATATACGAGCAATGCTTCGAAGACACCTATGATCAAACACTAGTAGACTACGAATATCCTATACTCTTATTGGCCATGTTTCACTGCCATAAAGTAGGACGGAGCGAACTGCTGCACAGTAAACCCGTCCTTTGGTTGCTAGACGGATATCTCGCCTATGCCATAAATGACGCAAGTTGGCGAAAGCTAGACGAGCCTTCTGTATCCGTGCTGAGATTTCGTCACATACCAGACCACAAGGGCTGATGAGACTCCCAAGATAAGTGAAGTGGTCTACACGCTCAACTACTTCACTCCCTATCATTAGTTCAGGTGTCGCTGCAACCCAATCCTGAAGTAACATTTTGCACTTCGAGGGAGAGAATCGCATTCAGAACATGCCTGCATAGTTGCTTATAGTAGTCAGAAGACTCTGCATGTTGTCAGCGTCTTCACCGAGTAAAACTATGTCGTCGGCGTATTCTAAGTCAACAAGTGAGCCTCCTGGTAAAAGTTCAACTCCTGGAGGTTTAGCTGATGAAAGTGCTATCTCTAAAAGTATGTCAATGACAAAGTTAAACAAGAATGGGGTGAGTGGTCAGCCCTGACGAACGCCACTTGTGGTAATCAGTTCTGATGACAGTTCGCCATAGGCTCTAACTCGACCAGTTGTGCTCGAGTAGAGAGCCTTTATGAGGTTAATGTACTTCTTTGGTACTCCTTTCAGTGACAAACATTGCCATAGAACCTCACGATCAACAGAGTCAAATGCCGCCTTAAGGTCAAGAAATACTACTATTGTGGGACGTCTGAATTTGTGTCTATGTTCTAGAACCTGACGTAGGGTGAATATCTGGTCTATGCAACCACGTCCAGGTCGAAAACCAGCCTGGTTTTCTCTAGTCTGCTCGTCACGAGCTTTGGTTAGGCGACCTAGTATTATTGAAGCTAATATATTAGACACTATATTAGTCAAACTGATCCCTCTGTGATTGTCACAAGAGGACTTTTGTCCTTTCTTATAGACTGGCACAATCAGTGATTGGGACCAGTCAGATGGAATTACGTCCAGTTCCCAGATTCTACCTAAGACCTCAGTCAATCTCACTGCTAGTACTGGACCACCATCCTTAAAAATCTCAGGGGTCAACCTGTCAGGGCCTGCTGCTCTCCCTCGCTTCAGATTTCCTATAGCTTTTTCAACCTCACAGAGGGTTGGAGGACTTACATCAATTTGCCATTCAGGACGACTGGGGATCGTGGGTAATTGAAGTGTGGCTGAAGGCCAGTTGAACTGATCCCTAAAGTGTTCTGCCCATCGATCCAATCTCCTGGATTGAGAATGAATAATATGCCCATCTTTATCTGAGATGGTTTCACTGATATTCGGGTTCCTAATACCGGTTTCTTTAA